TGGACTCAAAGCGGAAATGAGGACCAACCAAATCTGACCCGCTGGAGACTCTGAAACACTGAAATGCCCTTGACCCCTTAACTGTGGCAGTGGCGGTAATTAGAGCCCTGGGTGGTGCACTCCCGGTGGTGCTGAAAGGCTGATGGGAGGAGCCTATATCCAGCCCCACCCCTTCTGCTCAAGGCCCCACCCCTTCTGGGAGCACAGAGACAAATGCTGGCACACACAATTCTGTTGGGACCCTGGTTTCTGCGGAGAGGCTCTTCAGCCCCTCTGATCCTAGAAACCAATGATGTCCTTAGGAATCCAGCACATAAAATGAGATTCTTTTCAGTGACCATTGCGTTACTTATTTATTGGTGTTGGGATGAAACTTATAAGCCAGCCATAAAAACCTAAAAGACTTCCATTAACAAGATACTTAACCACCGGCTCCCTTTGGCTTCAATTTTCCAAGGCATTTAGGCACCTAATGCCTGTTGAATCTCAGTGGTAGTTAGGCACTTAAAGACAGGTGGGACCTCCCAGATCTGGCACCCATGGGACCTGACTGGTCCCAGATGAAGGATTTTGCCTGACCAGACGAGGTCATTTTTGGACCCCTGCCACTGGCCCCCCCTGGACTGGCCGCTGACCTCCCAGCTGGTTGCCCTCTCCTGCTGGCCCTGCTGCCCTGCCAACCTACTGGGCAGCCATTGCTGCCGTGGCTCCACCTTAGGGCTTCAGGCAGCATTGCGCACCAGGACTCCCAACTCCACTAGGCAGCCCCGCTTCTATGTGCCAGTCCCATAGGGATCCTTACTGCTGGCCTTCCACCAGGACTCTTTGATCCTGCAACATCCATGCTGGACCATGGATGTTGCCAGAGCAGAGAATCCCAGTTAAGAGAGTTTCAACCTGTACCTTATCTTAAAAATCCTATCCCTTGGCTTCAGTGAGGATCCTCCCAGGCTTACAGACAGGCACATTCTTCAGCACCTTGTTGAATCAACACCTAAATCAGGGAATTTGGTAATATAAAGACAAAGACACTCTGCAGCTGAAAGCTCTATTGAAACATATTAGACTGAGAAATGCTTGGGTAAGACACAGGTAATATCAGCATATATTTGGCTAAAAACAGCCTGTTCCACCTACATATGGGCAGCTGATATATACAATTGAACACAACTAAAAAAAGGCATAATGCCTTGTAGGATGTGACCCTTCCTAAATATGGTAGAGATATCATTTAAACTAATAGCACCCAGAACTTCAAAGAATGATTGATCAAAGTCCTGATTGTTCTGTTATACAGAATCTATACAATTAAACAGAGACACCGACATACACTAAATACCAGTTTCTGAAAATCCAAATTGTTTGGTTGAAGCAACAGAATGATTATATCGTTTATTTTATATTCACAATTTCACTTTTTATGTTACGGTATTAATTCCTTCTCTCCCCTCTTTTTTTTAAGAAAGATACATTCTAGGTCAACTGAATTTGTGTATATTGTTCTTGATGATTCTCAGATTTTCCTGTTGTTCCAGTCCAAATTTTTTCCCATCCTTCTACAAGATGACTGATTCTCAAAGACAGGGTAATGGAACAATTGTGTTCTCCTTTGACTGGGATATACAATAGAACTAAACATGAGCCCAATCCAACTCCCATGAAGTCCGTGGAAAGGCTTAATTGATCCTTATTATGCTTTCTAATTCAGTCCTCAGCTACTGAAGATGTAACTTCTATTTGGCTTACAGAGGCCACAGATTCATGCTACAAAAATGTGGTGAGATTAGACAAGCCTGTTTCCAATCTTATCTACTATATGTTTTAAGAGAATCTGTTTGTTTGTTCAAGAACTCCTCCTAAACAATAAGAGCTAGGATCACCAAATTTGGTATGCAGCTTCCTCTTATCGTAACTTAAAGCAACATAAGAGTTTAGTGGTGTCAGGAAAATGGGATGTGCCTAGAATGGGATTGTTTCTTATAAACCCATACTGAAATGAGACAGAATCACCTAGGAGGTGAAAGAGGCTGGCTGGGGGCAATTCCCTCACCCATCTGGGACTTTCACAGCTCTGAGCCACCCCTCCCCCTCCCAGATGACTTTAGGGAGGAGGGGGTTGAAGCTCCTCCCCCACTTCCCCAATTCATATAGGGATGTTGCTGACTGTTCCCCTTCACCACTGTCAGGGGGCGAGAGGAAAGTGCACAGTTTGCTGCATTCCTCACTCTGGCTAGAGAGCGCAGGTGGCAGATGAGGTGTGTGCTTTGCTCTCGATCCCTGACAGGGAGAGGAAGGGGAAGAACAAGGAGCCCTGGTACAAATTTTCCTTTTATTTTCTAAAGGAGAATTAACTGAGTTAAGGACCCGAGCAAATGTGCTAGTTATTCATAATGGGCAAAACAAGGAACCTGACTTATCTCATTGTCAAGTTTTCAGTTTCTCCCAACGGGCACTTTCTAAAGATGTTTTTCACATACATTTACCTTGAACATGTAACCGGTTTTCCTTGCTGTAAAGCAAGCACAACATACCTTAAGAGACCACACTAAATAAATACAGAATAGGTGTTACGTTAATTTACCAGAGCCATTCCAAAAGTAGGCTTGCTGTGTGTCACTTCTTGAAAATGTGCAAACCCTGCTCAGTTATGAAAGGTCTCTTTCTAACCTCAGATTTCACAAGGAAAGGAAACCTTACTTATGAAACAAATGGCCTGACAAATGTAATTTCCTTGCGGATTTCATGGGGTTTAAAAATTAAATAAAATGAGTGCTTATCCATATCATGCTATTGGTCTAACATTTTGGAATAGGTTTATAGCTAGGTTTCCGGCCCCTCTAGTATAATTTAAATATAGCCTGAACATTGGAAGGCTATGGAAAGCCATGAAACATCTGCCAAATAGAGTGATGACATAATTGTAACAGTAAGTGAAATATATCCCACATGTTACATACTACAATCGAGTTACTGAGTGAAGGGATATCTTTTTACATCAGCCAACGAGCTAAAGGTTGTGTGGCCTTCTCTGTGTTCATGTGGGTTATTTTATATCTGACCATTAAGGGAAAAATAGGTTTAGGCTTAGATCAATGTTACTAACCTCTAAAAGTTAGGAACAAATTAGCTTCAGCCATGAATTCCACGATTGCTAGATTGTCTTACAAGACAATCCATATTAGGCTGATTTTATAGCTACTTTTAATTCCTTTCAAACTCTTCTAAGCAATGTATTTAAATAGCTCTTAGGAGCAGAATGACTGAAATTTTTAAAACTTCTAATAAATTTATATTTAGTAACCCAACACTTTGGATTTCAGATGCTCACAACAATGATCATGTTGGAAGCTAAGACGGCTATATGGTATCGATTGTATGCAAGCAAACAATCCAGCCCCATTCCATAAATTTAAACCTCAGAACTGTACAAAAAAACTTCATAAAGATAAAGTGAACACAGTTTATATAGATGCATCCATTTCTAACAAAAATAAGATTAACTTCTTATTACTGCTTAACTACTATCCATAAAACCAGCACTGCTGTATAGAACAATAAATTGCATTTAACTGTAAATTAAAAATAAATGGTGTGTAGCATAATACAGAGATGTGCCAGGACAGGAGCTCTAACTCCTCCACTTCTCAGAGGTAATCCAACTTCCTAACTATCCACGAATGTTTGGCCAGCAAACACCAGCGCAGCATTTTTGATTGGCTTGGGTTGTTGTTTCTCTGGGGTGGGGATCTTCACCACCTTTTCATACTGCCACCACATTTTCGAGACAACATCATCTCCAAGAGTCCTTTAGGAAGCCACAGGTTACATCATGACACCACTTGACCTAACGCAATATATCACGAACCTAACCCAACGTTTCCTATGCACATGCGAGCTGATGGGGAAACACTCAGGTTTTGCTCTTAAATAGACACCCCCTCCAAAACAAAAAACAAAACACCAACACAACACCTCGTTCCAAACAAAAACATATGCCCCACCCCACAAAAGGAGCAGCTTTAAAACTAATTTTTAAAAGGCCCGCCATCCAAACAATATTTCACTAGATATTCTGCTTGCCAACGTGTGCTGTTATTTCCATCGCGGTAGGTACTTCAAAAGCTACAGCGGTATCTGTGGACCAGCAAGGGGAAGGGTCCCAATATCAGCTGTAAATTAATCCACACTCAAGCTAGTTAGCACACCTCTTTTGGAACTGGAAGCTGCAACACTCTGAATGCCCTGGATTTAAAACAAAAACACACAAAGCAAAATACTGAACTGGAGCAGATGTGATGCAGACACTGAAGTCAGAAGCTGTTGAGATTTCTTCGGTCTTCCCTGAAAGAAATTGGCAAGGGGTGTGTGTTCAGAGCAGACGCCATCAGAGGAAGGTTGCTGTCTCTCAAGATCAGTGGATTGTTCTCCAGAAGAAACTTGCACGTTCCCAGGGTCTTTACTGCTTCACAGAAAAAATTCGGAAAGCCATCCCTTCACGGGGACTCTTCAAGCTGTAAAAGAGCAAGCAGTGTGAACCATAAGGAGGTGCAGCAGCTTGCCATGTAGGCACTTCAGTAAGGAAATGAGTGCTTTTAATTATTGATTGGATTTAAATGCATGTTCATTCGAACATCCGCAGTCTCGGTTTCTGAAGCACTCGCACCTCCATGACGCCTCGCACGGGGAGTTTCCATTACCACCCCGAGCCCTGAATGCTTTTCAGTTTAATAGAAAGGCCTCAGTTTATAGCTGGTGAAACTTAAGAGTGCATTAAAAATCTGCTACCTGTATGACACAAGATGCAGTATGGGCAACTGGCAAGCAACTGAGCCAGCCTTAGGGCTGGGCTAACTGGGCCCATGCCCAGGGCGCCATAGCCAGGGGGTACCCCAAGGGGCTTCAGCCTCCTTTCTTTGGCTGCGACAGGACTTTATTTGGCTGCTCACGGGGCGGGCTCCTCCTCTCTGGCCCCTCTCCAGCGCTGGGCTGGCAGGCTTCTCCCCATCCCTTGCCCCACTCTCCACTCACTCACTCTTCATCCAGCCAGCTGAGGGGTCTGCAACCACCTCATCCCTCCCTGCAGCAGGAGCCCAGAACAGCACAGGCAGCGTGGTGGTGCCCCACACCATGCTCCGGAGTGGAGTGCCTCCCGGCCCGGTCTCTGGCAGGGCTGGGGCCTGGCCAAAGCCAGAAGCAAAACTTTCTCTTCATGTGACTGAGTGGGAAGGAGAGGGAAGGGGAGCTGGACAAGGCTGGGTACACCCCCAAAGCCCAACCTTCTGCTCTTAGCTCCACCCCAAACCCTGTCTCCTTGCCCCCACCACATCCTGACTCCGGCACTCCCACATCCCTATCTCCTGCCTGGAGCCTCCCCCAAACCCCACACCAATCCCCTGCCCTCATCCCCCAGCACTCCACCTCGCTCTTTAATTTCTTACAGGTACTGTCGAATCACACCCCCTACCCCCCGGAGTAACAGAACACTCCATGTGAGAAACATAAGTTACTTTCTCTCCTGAGAACGCCATCACGAACAGCACACTGCAGGGCTAGGCACCATGTTGGATAGCTTTCTTCTTGTCCTGAGGTCTGGCTTTAGAACTGCCAAGTTCAGTGGCAGATGCAGCTAAGACTAACATTCTGAGTGAATGAGATGGCCAGAGCAAAATTCAGCAGAGAGATTTCTTTGTGCACTGCGAGCTGCCTGCATAAATTCCTTCTCCCTCAGGGTATGTCTACACTACAGCACTTATTCTAACTAACTTAATTCAAATTAGTTCATTCGAACTAAGCTAATACGAATTAGTGCATCTAGACCTAAAAACTAATTCGAATTAGCGTTTTGCTAATTCGAAATAGCATGTCCACATTGAGTGGACCCTGAACCGAAATTAAGGCTGGCTGGAACCAGTGCCGGCAGGGCATTGGGTTAGGACTTAGAGTGTGGAGCTGCTGTCTCAGGCTAGCCGAGGGCTGTGCTTAAAGGGACCCGACCCCCACCCCGGACAGACAGTTCTCAGGGTTCCCCACTTGCTTGTCTAACTCGATGAGGGACAGCAAAGCAGTCCTGTCTTGGAGTGTCCTGAGTGCCCGCACTCGGCACATCACAGCACTCGGCCATCAGCCCGGCTGCACTTGCCGCAGGCTGCCATCCGAGGGGGTCAATCGGGGGGCTGTCGGGATTCAGGAAGCCCTGCAGGAGAGCTTCCACCCTGAGGAGCCCACAGAGCCACCCCAGTCCTCCCCAATGGGGGGCTCGTGCCTCACCCCCTCCACTTATCCCTCCCTAGTCCCCCTTTCTGATGTAAAAAATAAAGGACATGTGTGTTCAAAAATAGAAACTCTCTTTATTTAACAAAACTGGGGGGGGGGGGGGGGGGCGGTAGACTGGGAAAAGGAGGTGGGAGAGGAAAGGGGGAAACCTGGGAGGAGGGAGCTGGAAGGGGGAAGCCAGGGGAAGAAGGAGGAAGGGAAGTATAAAACTATGGTACACCATATCTTCAGTATTCTGTACAGATGCGGTCTCCTCACCTCAAAAAAGATATTTTTGGCCTTGGAAAGGGTTCAGAAAAGGGCAACTACAATGATTAAGGGTTTGGAACAGGTCCCATATGAAGAGAGGCTAAAGAGACTGGGACTTTTCAGCTCAGAAAGGAGGAGACTGAGGGGGGATAGGATAGAGGTCTATAAAAGCATGAGTGGTGTGGAGAGGGTGAATAAAGAAAAGTTCTTCATTAGTTCCCATAATAGAAGGGCTAGAGGACACCAAACGAAATGAATGGACAGCAGGTTTAAAACGAATAAGCGAAAGTTCTTCTTCACACAGCACATAGTCAACCTGTGGAACTCCTTGCCACAGGAGGCTGTGAAGGCTAGAACTATAACAGAGTTTAAAGAGAAGTTAGATAAATTCATGGAGGTTGGGTACATGGAGTGCTGTTAGCCAGGAGGTAGGAACGGTGTCTCTGGCCTCTGTTTGTGGAAGGCTGGAGTTGGGTGGCACGAGACAAATTGCTTGGTCATTGTCTTCAGTCCATCCCCTCCCGGGTACCTGGTGCTGGCCGCTGTCATCAGACAGGCTACTGGGCTAGATGGACCTTTGGTCTGACCCAGTATGGCCATTCTTATATCCTTATGTTCTAAGCTCAGGGTCGGGGGTCTCACTGGACCAACTTGATTTTCATGCAAACCTGCTCCTGGGTTCGCATGTGGCCTTTGGTGGCCAGGCTGGCAGCTATCCTGCCCTAGACAGCTGCATTCCTGTGCCTAGTGTGGAGGTCGTGGACATTGGCGGCCTCCCCACAAACTTCGATGAGGTCCATGATCTCCGCACTAGTCCTGGGAAGAGGCGGAGGGCTGGGTGGCAGCAGGTGGCTGGCTCATGCTGTGCCAGGTGCAGGGTCTGCTGGCTGGGTGCTGTCAGGCTTGCATCTGGCATGAGCACTGTAGCCAGACCGTGCCCCTTTAAGGGCTCCGGGGCTGGAAGGGGGGCAGAAGAGTTTCCCTGGCTTGGCCCAGAGTGGCCACCAGGGCAACCTGGGAAGGGCTAGCCTCCCACTAGTTCGAATTAAGTGGCTACACAGCCCTTAATTCGAGCTAGTTAATTCGAACTAGGCGTTAGTCCTCATAGAATGAGGTTTACCTAGTTCGAATTAAGCGCTCCGCTAGTTCGATTTAAATTCTAATTAGCGGTTTGAATGGATAGCCGCTATTAAAGTTAATTCGAACTAACGGCTGTTAGTTGGAATTAACTTTGTTGTGTAGACAGACCCTCAGTGCAGAGACAGAGTGCACAGTATGATGAAGAAATACAGAGAAGCAAACATAAGAGTCAGTAATCCGGGTGTACAATTCTGCTTTGCAGCTAGCTCTTCAGTGCTTGTGCCCTGTCAAGGCAGAGTAGTTATGTATGAGTTATGTATAACCACCACAAGGCAGATTTGAACTAGGGATCTCTGGAGTTTAGTGTAGGAGCCTCTACAGCTTGAGCTATAAAGCCAGCTGCTTCTCACTCACGTTATAGAGCTCACTTGCTCTTATCTCTTACTGTAAGTGGTCTAAGGGCCCCTGCATGGGACAGTGAACCCCACCCACTAGGGGTGTGGGTTACAATTGCACTTCAATGGCCCCTGTTATTGCCGTCTCTGAGAATGTCACCATTTTAACGTATTTGCCCTCAACCCTGCTGTGAGGCAAGACTATTATCCCCATTTTACGATGGGAGACTGAGGCACAAAGAGATAAGTGATTGGCTCAAGGTCCCACAGAGGGAGGGACTTAAATGTGGGCTTTCTGCATAGAGAGTCAGTCCCTCTCTCCCAATGAATAATTATTCATACAAAGTAGAAAAGATCCAACATCAGAGAATGATATCAATCCATTCCCAAAATAG